TCCTATACTTTTCCTATTCCTACGTTTTCAAAATCCTACGAATCAAAGAGGCCCTAAACTGCACGGGGCCAGGAAACGAATTCTAATGTCTCAGTTACAGGGTACATTTCTTTAATTTGACGTGAAGATGAGTAAGGACTGGGCCGGAGGTCTGAAGCTCTGAACTCTGAAAACTTGAGGGCATGCAGGAGCCAACCTGTGAGCCCCAGACTATACGGCCTTCAGAGACTCAATTAGGCCGGGGAAGATGATCGATGCTACAGTCAGTACGTACAATGCTCGTATTACTGATGCAGTAGCAGGCTTTGGCGCAGAGTGCACCAGTTAAATTCTGGTTCATCTGGTCACGAAAAAAGCTGGGCACCTAAACAGGCATCACCATGAAAGGAACACACGCGGCAGGCCTCCTGACACCCAACTCTATATGTATTGTCACCCAACTCTATGTATTGTTCTAGCTATAGCTCCCAAATAAACAGACCATCCGTGCAGTTTTCCAGGTCAGAGTTTGCAACTGCTAACCTTAGTTTCAGCAGGAGCCTGTAATGACCGTGCTCCGTGAGGACAGGCGCCCATGTGCCTTGTGCCGTACACTGGAGTTCGATGACCAATGTGATGTGTGTGCAGCCCGTCTACAGCAACTAGTGTTCCATCCTGCATCCCTACAAGAAAACCAAATAATTGGTCGATTAAACGCAGCCCCCAACATCAGTTAGAAAACAGAATATAAATGTCAGTTAAAAACTGAGTAAAGTGACCGATGTGATGAGAGTGTGCCTGTCCAAAGTAACTAGTGCTATGTTCTGCAGGCATATAGGGAAACAAATTAATTGGATAATCAGATACAACCCAGCGTCAGTTCAGAAACAGAGGAAGAGAACATATGCAATGACTATGAAGAGATGGAAAATAGAACTGGAATATAATGTAGTAAAAGTTACATGAGGTGAGAGAATGGGCACATATGTTAATTCCCAAGAAACATTATATAGGTAAGATGGCGGAAGCACACCGGTACAACTACAAATAGTTTCCGCACGAATGTATCCAAATTTAATAATATGTAATGGAATAGAAAATGAACTTTACCAACTTGAACATTAGTTTTTAGGTAAACTTGCCCATGTGCCTTCTGCCGTACACTGGAGTTGGACGACCGATGTGATGTGAATGCGGCCCGTCTACAGCAACTGGTGTTCCGTCCTGCATTCCTACAAGAAAACCAAATAATTGGATGATTAAACACAACCCCAAGATCAGTTAGAAAACAGAATAAGAAAGTCAGGTAAAACTGAGTAGAGTGACCGATCCGATGCGAGTATGCCCGTCCACAGTAAATGGTGTTCTGTTCTGCAGGAATTTAGGGAAACCAACTAATACGATAATCAGATAACACCCAGCGTCAGTTCGGAAATAGAGGAAGAGAAGATATCAGGTAAAAATAAGTAGCGACAAGAACTGCTCTGATCAAGGAAACTCATAAATTCCTGGATAAAGTGTATAATAAAGTTAAAATGCCATACTCTGTTGTAGGCTTAAATAATAGTCTTCTACTCCCTCAGATCCAAATTAATTGACGCACACTTAGTACAACTTTAGTACAAAGTTCCCCGCGAAAAAAAACTTTAGTACAAAGTTGTACTAAGTGTGCATCAATTAATTTGGACCGGAAGGAGTATTAAACTTTCTAATCCTGCAGTAAGATCAAACTTATAAAGGTTCAAGACCTAAAGCTTGTCTGACCTGATATTATTACTTCGGGCAAGAATCATAGGATACGGATATCAACAAATTTGAACCTGTTGGGCCTAGATGTGCCAGCCTGGGTATCAAAGCACACAGATTGTTCAAAATTATGCTTTTCAGATGGGATATTAAAGACAGTGAATGACTTCACATGGATGCACGAGTAGCCATTATATTCATTCTCACACAGTCAGGCAAATCAAGCATATATATGAGCCGTAGGTGGAGATACACCATTGGTACCGAAAAGTACTGTATCCTCAGGAAGACACCCAAAAAACGGGACCCATGCTCCTTGCTCCCTCAACTCACAGGATCCAATGTTCAAGTCAAACATCTATTTGCTGCTACTCTCTTTCATTTTCCATTTTATGTACATATTGGTAGATGAGAAAATGTTTCACATCAGTCACATGTAAAATAACAATGAAATAAAGTAGAACAAACATTACTTGAGGTGAGAGAATGGGCACATATCTGAATACCCAGGTACATTATATAGGTGAGACAGCAGAAGCACACACCAGTATAGTACAAGTACAAAGAGTTTCAGCATGAATGTATTTAAATTTAATAGTACTCCCTCCGTCCGGAAATACTTGTCATCAAAATGGATAAAAGGGGATGTATCTAGATGTATTTTAGTTCTAGATACATCTCTTTTTATTCATTTTGATGACAAATATTTTCGGACGGAGGGAGTATGTAATGGAGTATTACCAACTTGAAAATAGTGTTCAGGTAAAACCACCAGAGGTGGACAAACATCATGAACAACACACATCCACTTGGGAACACCAAACACCGTTTCATGCATTCACTGTATTATGCTACTATAAAAATATTATAACCATGACATTGAGTGTAACAGAAAAAAAGGGAACTTCCCAGACTGAATGAGTTGAAATTTGGTTCCCAAGAGAGCACTTAAAGATGTACTTGTGATGACATTCCCCATTGTTTGCAGCCTGCAATATTCATGACAAACATTAGTTCATGCTTCACTGTGACTGAAATAATTAGATGAAAGATTGCATAGAGATTATACTTCTAGCTTTAATTTTAAAAATTATTAACACTGGATAGCCTACATGAAGAATAGGTTTAGGCTTGAAGAGATTAGGAATGCCTCATATTGTCAACTATAGTTACCAAATGTATTATTACAAAAAAATTTATTCCATGACCATGGAAAGATCTCTTAAGCAAATCGACTATACCAACCAGATTCTCCAGTACAATGAGAAACAATCTGGCTACTTAGAACTGAAAGTTAGAGTTGAACCAGAACCCTCTCAGTTCTTACTACCAGAACTGTTATTGAAGTGAGGTCTGAACTGTGGCTGATTGGCTACCTACTAGTATGTGCATTTATACCCGAATCCAAATGTTCAGCAGGGCCCACCCAACTTGTTATGCCAGTTTTCAGTCTATATCATGTAATTAAATTTGAGTTTTTACTAGGAAAGTGAAAACATTATCGATTTCCACTTACAGTGATACGATTTAGTACTTTATTTCAGCTAACAAACCTGGAAGGGAGACACTCTAGACTCCGTGCGTATGGTAGACCTGGGAGCAAAACTGTGCTCATGATCTCTAACAATCCTTCTGGTTCGATGGGAGTGATGAATCCCCAATGATTTTTATGCACCACAGCGGATAATGGAGCAGCTATACGAGTGTGTGCTGTTACTTGCACTAATGTAAGAAACAAATCATGGGCTTCAAAGAAATCAGCAAGTAGCTGTCTTGTCACTTCTCTACCATTCTCTAACAATCAGAAGTATGTTTTGCATTAAATTTTCCTCCTTCAAGTATGTCACTGTGTTTTTAGAATGGATAAAAAGAACTAATACAGAGGAATAAAACTTCAGAGGGTAACAATATTGGTCAGAAGCATTACTCAATTTAAGAGAAGGTTACAATTGTAGTATGTTTGATCTCTATAGGGCAGCCAGTATCATACAAAGCACAAGGCTCGGCTAGAAATGGGCCGAAAAAGAAGAGGAACCCAGAGACTGAGATTTTCACCTGGCAAAATCAAGGTGTCCACTCACGTTACTCACCCCAACCTACGATCAGAATATCAATTGCATCAGCACATATGTTTTTATGAACATACAGACTCATTGGTTTGAGGAAACGTGCCAAGTCTTCCTCGGCTCACATCATGTAAGCAGTTGTGTGTGGAGGAACTATTTGGTTTGTGTAACGTCCCTACCAATATGTGCAGAAAAACTGTTAACAAAGGGCAAGGCCGTAAAAAAAACGATCATCACTGTGACTTCTACACATAACATCTAATGTCGCATTTGAGAGTACCATTACCATCAGAACGGTTTGTTGAGCTAACTGAAGCTTACTTTGTATAATGGTAAAAACATCAACATATTTGCTACTACAAGACTACGTAGCATCAGAAACAACAAACACAAATGTTCAAAACCGTCTCTCCAGTCCATAAATTACCTGTGCAGATTGTAGAACTGGGCAACTTTGAACTAGAAATTCGTCAAATGATGCACCATGCCCTGAAATTCAGCCGTGTGCCATAGGAACCTGCGATCACGGAACACAGTGCTGCAGGTAAGCCACTCTCGAGCACTACAAGCTCCTGAAACACGATTGATACCGGCGAGAAACTCCGGGCTCGTCTATTTCGTCGAACACCTACCGCGCCCTTGCGAGAGCAGACGACTTCGCCTGGGTAAATCACGCGTCCGAGGCCAGGCAATGGCAGCCCACGCCCCGCGATCCATCCAGTGCAAGACCGGGCCGCGCAGGATCACACGCGGGAGCGGCTGCACCGCACGGCTCGGTGGCGTGGAAGGCGCGCGTGAATCGGACGCCGATCCCGCCGCCGCGGCGTCGGTGGGCACGAGAGGAGGCGGGGAACGCGTCGAGCACGGTAAGCGCGGATAGGAGCCCGGCGGGTAGTCGGTGAGATTGAGAAGGTTCCGGCCGGGCGGCGAGGGAGGCGAGGCGTGGGTGGTTGCGCCGCCGTGGTGGGGTGCGACGGACGCTGCGCGGCGCGCGTGTGTACTTTGGCAGTTTGAGCCTTTGAGGGGAGCGGCGGGAAGAGCGCCTCGCCTTCGCTCTGACCCGAGGCCCGATGTTTCCCCTGGCATCTGGACCCCACTTGCTGACAGCAAGACACAGTCGCGTCGTCACTCCCCAACCGAAGCGAAGCTCTGGGCAGTGGGCACCCCACAATCTACCCACAGGAGAGCAGAGCAGAGCAGCGCAGCGAGATGGCTTCCCTACCCATCTGCCCATCGTCCCCTTCCTCCTTCCTCTCATGGCCGCACCGCCCAATCTCGCTCTCCTTCCAGCCCAAGAACCACTCCTCCTCCGCCTCGCCGGCCGCCGCACATGTCTCCGTCCAGGACTCGCCGCCCCCTCCGACCCCGGCGCCTCCCTCCGACCCCGGCCAGAACCCCAAGATTTCCAGCACTGCGAGGTTCCTCTGGGTCAACCCCAACAGCCCGCGCGCCGCCGAACTCGCCCGCGCGCGCGCCGGATCCGGCCGCCGGGCCCGCCTCGCCGCCGCAGCCGCAGCGCTCGCCGCGTGCGAGCCCGCCGAGGCGCTCGTCGCCGCCGCGCTCGAGGCCGCCTTCCCCGGGGCCCCCTCCGAGCAGGACGCCGCCATCGTGCTCAATACGGCCGCCGGCAACCCAGCCACCGCCGTGCTCGCGCTGCGCTGGTTCCTGGAGAACGCCGAGGTTCGCAGCAAGGTCATCCTCTACAACGTCGTGTTCAAGGTGCTGCGCAAGCGGCGGCGCTGGAGCGAGACGGAGGCGCTCTGGGACGTGATGCTGCGGGACGGCGTGCAGCCGGACAACACCACCTTCTCGACCGTCATCAGCTGCGCGCGCGCCTGCGGCCCGCCCGGCAAGGCCGTGGAGTGGTTCGAGAAGATGCCGGAGTCAGGGTGCTCGCCGGACATGCTCACCTACTCGGTCGTGATCGACGCATACGGCCGAGCCGGGGACGCCGAGATGGCACTCCGCTTATACGACCGTGCCCGGTCTGAGAGATGCCAGCTCGACCCTGTCATATGCGCCACGGTGATCAAAGTGCACTCCACCAGCGGCAACTTCGACGGCGCGCTCAACGTGTTTGAGGAAATGAAGGCCGTTGGCGTCAAGCCAAACCTGGTCGTGTACAACACCGTGCTGGACGCCATGGGCCGTGCCATGCGGCCATGGGTAGTGAAGACCATCCACAGGGAGATGGTCAGCCAGAAGGTGCAGCCCAATAGAGCAACCTACTGTTGTCTCCTGCAGGCGTACACCAGGGCACGCTACGGCGAGGACGCGATGATCGTGTACCGGAAGATGAAGGACGAGGTGATGGACATCGACGTGGTGCTGTACAACATGCTCCTGTCAATGTGCGCCGACATCGGCTACGTCGACGAGGCCGAGGAGATCTTCCGAGACATGAAGTCGTCCATGGACACCAAGTGCAAGCCTGATAGCTGGACCTACTCATCAATGGTGACACTATATTCCTGCACTGGCAATGTCCCTGGTGCAGAGGCCATACTGAAGGAGATGGCAGAGGCAGGTTTCAAGCCCAACATCTTCATCCTCACGTCGCTCATCCGGTGCTACGGTAAAGCGGGGTGCACTGACGATGTTGTCAGGTCGTTCGGCATGCTAGAGGACCTCAAAATCACGCCCGACGACCGGTTCTGCGGCTGCCTTCTTACCGTGGCAGCGGATACGCCGGTGGAGGAGCTCGGCAAGGTGGTTGACTGCATCGACAGAAGCAATGCCGAGCTTGGCACCGTGGTGAAGCTCCTGGCGGACAGGAAAGCCTCCACTGAATCCTTCAAGGAGGCAGCCAGGGGCATCCTGAGCGGCGCCCGTGGCGTGGTGAAGATGCCCTACTGCAACTGCTTGATGGACCTGTGCGTGAACCTGGAGCAGATGGAGAAAGCCTGCGCGCTCCTCGACGCCGCGCTGCAGCTCGACATCTACAGCAACGTGCAGACGAGGACGCAGACGCAGTGGTCGCTGCACCTCAGAGGCCTCTCGGTCGGCGCCGCCCTGACCACTCTCCATGTCTGGATGAACGACCTGTACACGACGCTTCAGAGCGGCGAAGAGCTGCCACCGCTGCTCGGAATCCACACAGGGGAGGGGAGGAACATGTACTCCGACAAAGGGCTGGCCTCCGTGTTCGAGTCGCATCTCAAGGAGCTCGACGCGCCCTTCCATGGCGCTCCCGACAAGGCCGGCTGGTTCCTGACGACGAGCATTGCTGCCAAGCACTGGCTGGAGGCAAAGAAGTCGTCAGAGCTAGTCACCGTGTAAGGTGCACAATCTAGGAGGCATATAGGATTTATTTGTTTTTTGATTTGGTATAAACTGTGGCTGTGGGTGTTCTGAAATCTTCAGAATCCACCCTTCTGGTGACAGATGCTTCTGTTTACTTTCATGACTAAAGAAAACCAGTTCTTTTCAGTACTCTTACCATTAGCATGATGCATGCGATGATCTGTTAGAACACCTAGAATGGTTTTTATCGCAGACTAGTTGATGTGTGCTGCCATCTCACAGAACCAAGACAGTAGTAGCATAGATGATTGTATAAATAACTGCGTATACATAGATGAATTGGTGACTTGAGCAGTGTACAACAGGCTAAAGAAAAACAAGAAGATTTGCAGTGTACAACAGTCTGAATGGTTGGCTATCCCAACCCCTACTAAATGGCTATGACAACTACTCTAAAGTACATAACTATATCTTCCAGGGGAACCTTCAATTAGGGTGACATAAAATTTGAGGTCCATTATCTGGAGCCAACAGTTCCCTTGTTAGATGGAATGTTTCGGCGCCTCGGTGTTCACTCATCAACTGTTTTCAGGACAGACAACGAGGAATGACAAAATTGCTGAAATCATGCATTCCCCTGTGAAGTTTTTATTGATCGAGAAACTCCAGACCAGTAGCAGTTGGTGTCAACCCATGATTGGCCAAATATTCATCATTGAAGAACTTACTTAGATGCCTCATCCCACTGTCGCAGAGAATTGTCACAATTGTATGTCCTGGACCTAAATCCCGGGCAACTCTTACAGCCCCGACACAATTCATGGCTGAAGAACTCCCAACAAATAGTCCATCTCTTCTCAGCAGAAACCTAAATTAATGTTTCAAGTAACTGAGGTCAGATGGATGGAAGTATTTTTACGGTTCAGTAACATACTTGGTAAGATAGAAGAATGATTGAATAAACAACGGCGAACTTTCCATTAACTATCACGGCTAAGGTGATTAAATAAATATACTCCCTTCGTTCCTAGATATAGGGTGTGTAGTTTTTTGAGAAAAAAATCCAGAATATATGGTGTATAGCCTTTGTTGTCAATTTTACCCCTCCACCAATCAGCTCCCACGCATGAAAAAAAGGAGATGATTTATTTGAAAGACTCCCAGCCATGTCTAGCTTGCATGCTCCATGTACGGCGGTTAGAAAAAAAATCATGCACTGTACAATACCTTATAAATAAATCATGGCTGGGAATCTTCTAAACAAATCATCTCTTTTTTTTTTAGGGATTTCATGCGTGTGAGCTGATCTGTGGAGGGGTAAAATTGACAACAAAGTCAATACACCCTATATTCCGGATTTTTTTTTCTCAAAACACTATACACCCTATATCTAGGAACGGAGGGAGTATACAAGTCTTCCTATTGCTTCTAAAAACATGCTTAACAAATGACAATTGAGGCTTCTACTGAAGTTTGAGAAAAGGGTGGGATGTGTACTCATTTTCCTTTATTTTTGGAGGAGTAGAGGGACCCAATAACCCAAGACACAATAACGTCAACATCCATTTAAGTTGTAGGGAAATATTACAAGATCAGGCCAACTGGTTGATCGGTTAAAGGTGGACTGCAGTAGAAAAATGATGTAATCTATCTATACAACTGAACAAATTATCCTTTCTCTTTCAGATAATAACTGCTAGAGCAACGCTATGCATACGGCAATTTATATACTCCCTCCGTTCCTAAATATAAGTCTTTTTAAAGATTCTACTATGGACTACATACAGAGGAAAATGAGTGAATCTACACTCTAAAATATGTCTATATGCATCTGTATGTAGTATGTAGAGAAAACTCTAAAAAGACTTATATTTAGGAACGGGGGAAGTACAATCTTAGTACGACAAACCACCTACACCAATGGACTGAGTCATTCTTTGAAATTGTGTGGCTTGGAATTGCATCGTACAGGAATCACACATCAAAATCGTATGCATAGCTATTCCATAACTGCTGGAAGTCGATAAAAAGTTAATATTCAGAAAGTATGTACCTTGACATCTCGACAGCTTCTCTATCTGTTCCCCGGTAAGCGCCATCCAGTTCTGCCATCATAAAATTTGCTGTGACCCTGTTGATTCCAATTCCTTCAGTAATAGTGTCAAAAGGATTTTTCAGCCTTTTGCCCTCAGCCTCCTCTTTTGTGTACATAACCCCTCTAGTTACCTTATTAAACAGACCAGATCCAGGTGGATCCATTAAAAAGCATTGGACATTTCTGTTCATTTCCTAAGTAAATAATATCATAGCAATAAAAAATTAGTTGACCCAAGAAGAAAACATATATAGACGAAAGAAAATAATAAGCATACAAACCTTAAGATATCGTGAAACTCCAGCAATCGTACCGCCAGTACCAGCGGCAGCAACAAAGGCATGAACAGTCCCTTTAGTTTGCTTCCATATCTCAGGACCAGTCCATTCGTAATGCGCTCGATAGTTTGCCATATTCTCAAACTGGTCAGCAAAGAAACCTCCCTTTGAATCAGAATTAGGGTAACATTTGCCAGTGTCAGGCACTTCAGAACTGGCATGTGCTGACCCGTTAGTTTGTTTGGAGTTCAGCGTTTTAGTATCAACATAGGCTGAACCATTAGTTTGTATGTGATTAGGTTCCCTTTGTGCTGATGCTATATTGGCTTCCAATGCCCTTCTTCTTGCAATATTGACAAAATGGTCTCTGTGAGTGATTGAAACAGGACGCACTCGTTCCACAGTAGCTCCAAGCGCTTCAATTATTTGAGACTGGAAAGCAATCTTTAAGTAAAACTACACAGCAGGAACATAAACAACAAACAGGATTGAAGTACTGTGCAACATTGTTAGGAGAAATTCCCACCGGAGCATCTAAAATATCCAACCAGGCCTGAAAAGCCCTACACCCTTGAAAGGGCAGGCTCAAGTCTAGACCAGCCCCGGAAGCTCAGGCTGAACCCCAGAATATTGATACTTGGAAATACAATACTATGGTGTTATCTTGATTTATTATTTGTGATAGGTCTTGGGCCCAATGAGAGAGCCTGATTTCAGACCTGGTCTACCTGGTCTGATCTAAATTAGTTCATCTTATTACATAACAAGACAATTCAAGTAGAGATTCTGGATGCTACAGCAGCAGATGTCCGATTTAGTACACCAAGAATTCTCGAACCGAGCATAACCTCCATACCTTCTCAACGGCAGCATCATCAGGAATAACAACATGGCACCTACAGCCATAAGCAGGAGCAACAGTGGCCAAGCTAATAGCCGTGCTTCCGGCACTCCCTTCTGTTACTACACCACCACAGACAAGATCCCCAGATTTCAGAGCCTAATTGCAATAAAAATGCCAGTGTCATGTTAAGTCAAAAGAGAAAATAAATTTCTATAGGATCAATATATACTATAGCATAAAACTGAATATATCAACGAAGTATCTCATGCCTCATCCATTGAAATGTAAATAATTTAGCTAGATCCAAGTATGCAAGGAAGTAATTCGATATTATCACCTACTTGTTTTCATTTCATGCAAAAGAAGCAAAATTCAAAACCCCTTTTCTTTAATTCTCTAAAACCATAACTGAATGGTGCTTTCCATGAATGCTTTGTTCCAGAACAACTACGGTTGTTCCTTTAGAACCGTAATTTTACATACTTATAATCATAACAAATAAAAAAAATACATATGCTAGAACTACACTTACTATTCACTAACCCTTGCCAACATTGCATGAATCGGTCAGACAACTTCTCACCACGAACTTATCTACTACAGTATCTCCGTTCCTAAATATAAGTATTTTTAGAGATTCCAATGCGGACTACATACGGAGCAAAATGAGTGAATCTACACTCTAAAATATGTCTATATACATCCGTATGTAGTTCTTACTGAATCTCTTAAAAGACTTATATTTAGGAACGGAGGAAGTACTTCACACTTCTCCCTTCTGGCTTCTACTCCCTCCGTTCTTAAATGTAAGTCTTTGTAGAGATTCCACTATGAACCACATACGGATGCATATAGATGCATTTTAAGTTTAGATTCATTCATTTTGCTCCGTATGTAGTCCACCTAATGGAATCCCAGAAAGACTTATATTTAGGAACGGAGGTAGTAAAAACTAACCGAATTAATCTTACAATTTACACCGAACTGCACAAATTACCTCCTCGATAATCTTAACCGCCACACGGTCCTTCACGCTGCCTCCCGGGTTCAGAAATTCGGCCTTCCCCAGAATCTGCAGCACATTCGAATAACAAATCCAGTACCTCAGTACCTTAAACCGAAGCAGCAAAGCGGAGCTGCACACAAGGAGACACCCCAAGAATATAGGAGTACCTCACACCCGGTGGCGTCGGAGAGGCTGTTGATGCGGATGAGGGGCGTGTTGCCGACGGCCTCCACGAGGCCCTTCCGCCGCGTCCTCCGGTCGTCCGCGCTGGTGGTGCGGGCCCATAGGAACTTGGAGCCGCTCCTGCCGAAGAGGAAGTAGTACGCAAACAAGGATATGGAGGCGGCCGCAGCGGCTGCTCCTGCCGCCGTCGCCGTCGCAGCCGCCATCGCGAGGATGGGAGGGGGGCGGGTAGCGAACCCTTGGGTTCAGAAGTTCAGAAGGAGGGCGAACCAACTTGGTTCAACCCGGTAGTCCTCTTTTTTTTACCCGGGAGTCCTTAAATAAAGAGTTGAAAAAATAGAAAGAAAAAGTACTTCCTCCGTTCATTTTTGTAAGGGTAATGTTTATACCCGGCGCACCGGCCGAACGCTCCACCGGCCTCGCGTGCGTCGTGGGATTCCTGTGCGATCCAGCGATCATACGCAAGCCACGTGTTCTGCCAGGCCCGGCCCACCCCACCGCTGAAGCGTCTTCCTTCCTTATCCTCTCACGAGTATACCACTCATTTTCCCCATCTCTTTCCCCGCTGCTGTATCCCAGCGCCCAGTTTCTCGCCGCCGTCAAGCCGAACAACACTCCCCTTTAATCCTATTCCAAATCAGCAATGGCCGCTAGCTGAGAAGCAAGCCAGACGCGAGGGCGTCATGCTTGGGAGGTTGGGCGGGGTTGTACGAGTGGACATCGTCGGATGCTCGACCCGGCCGACGCCGATGCTTTTTTTATCGACGACTGGCTCCTACTGCACGACTGCGCCACGTGCCGGAACCGGCGACGAGCCGTGCTGGAACCAGTCATCCGTCGTGCTGGGACCTGCGCCGGGTGGCCTGCCGACCATGGTGACTGCGCCCGGTGGCCGGCAACGGAGACGACGATTTTATTGGTGGAACCATTGTTTTTGCTGGAAAGAGCTCCAAAATTTGCTTCCACCGTGTTCTGTTTTTGCTGTATCCATTCAAGTTTTTGCTACCACCATCCTCTGTTTTGCTGGAATCGGGGCTCATCTTTTGCTAATTTGCTACCACTATGTTCTTTTTTTGTTGGATTCAGCCAATTTTTTGCTACCACCATCCTTGTTTGCTGGAACCGGGGCTCATTTTTTGCTTCCACCATGTTCTGTTTTTGTTGGATCACGCTATTGTTTTTGCTACAACCGGTGTTTTGCATTTTTGCTACATTGCATAAACCAGAGTCGGGGAAATTTTGCTACAATCGGTGTCAGCTGAGCTACAACCAGCACCTCGAATTGCTACAACCGCTGGCAGTTCAAGCTGCAACCGGCATCGCGGCTCAGCGGCGAAGATGATTTTTGTTGGAACCGTTGCTTGATTTTGCTAGAACCGGCGCTCGTTTTTGCTGGAATAGGTGATCGATACGTTGCGATGGTGAGATGTAACCGATGAGTTGTGGCATCATGTGTGAGCAGCAACGAGCACGTCGGCGAGCTGTGGCCCTCACCATCGGAGCTGCAAACGTCATCACCGGAGCTCCAACCACGGGTGCACGATGTTACATGCATGGAGCTGGCGACCGACGGCGAGGCGGTGACCATCGGCGACGGAGGCGACCATCGGCGGGAGAGGCGACCGGCGGTGCTTCGAGGTTGGTCGCGCTCGCTCGTCCATGGCAGCGGCGCCCGCTGCTCCTTTTTCCCCGCTGCGCTCGTGAGATTTGTTTTCGGGAAGAAAGGAGCCTGCACGAGAGCTAGATCTGACGGCCTTACACAACTGTATCTGACGGCTACGGTGCGACCGGCCTAAATTTGGGTCGGCGCGCCGGCGCCTATCAGTCGCCTTTTTGTAAGTCGTTTAGGACAGCTAAAATTACACTGTTTTAGGTGTTGTCTTAAATGTCTAAAAGGTCTTACAAAAATGAAGGAGGGAGTAACTTTCTTATTCGAATTTTTCGAAAAGAATCATGGTGTAAATTTGATTTTTTAGGGGTAAGGCATTTATTATTAAAGAGCAAAACGGTCCACAAATTCACAAGTCATAACCAAGTCTCGGCTGCACATCACGCAGCAAACCAAAAATAAACAAAACCCGGAATCTTATCTGCAACAATCTGCAGGATCAAATCAGGTGGCTCATTAAGCCACACTTTATTCATCTCAATGCTAATTCCCTCTTTTGCAAGATTATGCGCTGCTCCATTAGCAGTTCTTCTCACCAGCACACTTTGTGCTCCTGTGTAGTCCGAAGGAGTGCCTTCACTTCCTCCACCAACGCCCCGACGGCGGAGAGATTTTCCCCTTCTGCATTGATCATTGCCACCACGTCCTTGCTATCTAGCTCGAGATGTATCTTCCGAAAGCCTTGCTAGAGTGCAAATCGAACCGCCTGCCTACTAGCCATCACTTCCAATAGATGAGGATCAGAGATACCTGGGAGAAACGTCGTCGCCCCTCCTCTATATGCACCATCATGGTCCCGTAGGACCACGCCCCCCATTGTTACCTGACTTTGTTGTAGCTCCATCAGCATTGGCCTTTCTCCATCCCATGTCAGGTGGCTTCCACACCTCAACCACCTTTTGGGCGCATGGCGTGGGAGTTCTGCAGTGCACCTTCTTCCACTCCTTTGTATGAGCGCTCACCATCTCCGCCACCGACCTCGCCGCCATGATTCTTTTTCCATCTCGTGCTTCGTTTCTCGCTAACCAAAGCCCATAGAGCGCCTGGATCATCGTCTCTCTTTCATCATCACCCGCCTTAGCTATCCACTCTTGCATCCATGCCGAAATAGCAGTGAAAGAATCCTTCATCTCTGACGAAGTGATAACCGACGCATCCATCTCTTCTTTCATCAGGCGCCAGAAGAGTTTGGAGTGGGGGCAACCCCAGAAACAATGGAAGATGGTTTCCTCCCTGCCACATGCGGCACAAAACACCCCACCCTTGATCCTTCTCTGGTGCAGCTCAGCTCCCACAGCCAGCCCATTGCGCATTAACCTCTAGGTGTGAATTTTTGCTTTGCTCGGAGCGTTTGTGCCCCACAATGCTAGCCATGTCCAATGCTTCTGGATTGATGATGATGATCCCGATTGTCCAGTTTTAGCACCATTGAGGCTCATTCGCAAGTGGTATGCCGATTTGACCAAGAACTGCCCGTTTTTGGTAAAGTTCCATGCTAGATAATCGGTCAAGCCCTGCCCTCCAACCACAATTTGTTTTATATCACATACGTCATCAGGAGTAAACATCTCATGTGTTTTATGTTCGTCCCAACGATCTCCTTCTGCAACAAGCAGATCGGCCACCTTTGTGACGCCCTGGAGGTAGACCTCTCCCAGCGGCCTAAGGCTTCCTTGTCTCGTGATCCAGTTGTCATATGGTGCACATTGGTAGCAGTTCCATCACCAATCCTCCACACCATCCCTTCTCGCAATAGGTCCCTGCCATATAGTATGCTTCAAAAAGTGAATGATCCCCCACTTGGACACGTGGCTGACATAATAGACCCCTCTGGGAAGTAATGTGCTTTAAGAACTCGGGCGCATAAGGAGGAAGGGGTCTGCAAAATTCTCCAGGCTTGTTTGGCAAGCAAAGCTTGGTTGAACGCCCCTGGATCATGAAAAACCATCCCCCCTTCTCTCTTTGCATGGCGCATTTTATCCCAAGATATCTAGTGTACTTTCCTATCACCATTTGCTGCACCCCACCAGAATTTTGAAGAGATCGATTTCAGGTACCCACACATATTCTTTGTGAGTTGAAAACAACTCATGGTGTGATTTGGAGTAGACTGAAGCACTGACTTAACCAGGACCTCTCTTGCCGCCTTAGATAGTCCCTGCCCCTTCCATCCAGAGATCTTGCCAGTTGCACTTTCTCTAACATATTTGAATGTACCCTCCTTTGACTTGCCAACCAGTGTTGGAAGCCCAAGGTACCGTTCACTCAGCGCCTCAAAATTGATCACACTAGCTTGCTTCAATGCCACCTTATCCTCATATTTGCACCCTTTCCCAAAAAAGATAGATGATTTCTGAAGGTTTACTTTCTGCCCCGAGGCCATCTCATATTCTGCCAATATGTCCCTCAGGGTTCGTAAGGTTGTTGGATTTCCTTCTAGAAACACTATACTGTCATCAGCAAAAAGCAGGTGTGTTACATGGGGGGCAGTGCTCCCAAACGACACTCCTTTGATTTTATTCTCTCACTGTGCATGCTTCAGAAGCGCGGAAAAACCTTCAACACAAAACAAGAATAGATAGGGGGAAAGCGGGTTGCCTTGCCGTAAACCCCTAGATGGCAAAAAAACTCAGAGAAACTCCTCCATTTAGCTTGACCGCAAACCGTGCAGAAGTCAAGCACCTCATAACCATAACTATCCAGTTCTCCGCAAAACCAAGCTTCCTCAACACTTGCTCGAGAAATATCCACTCCACCCTATCATATGCCTTCATCATATCAAGCTTGGCAGCGCATAAAGGGGTTTTCCTCTTCCGTGTTCTGATCGCATGTACACACTCATATGCCACGAGGACATTGTCTGTGATCAACCTCCCCGGCACAAATGCACTTTGTTCTTCTGAGATAAGCACCGGCAGGATCACCCTCAGTTTATTCGCTAGAACCTTAGCAGCAATCTTGTACAGCACATTGCATAAGCTAATCGGGTGGAATTGTGTTAATAGCTTGGGTGAGTTAACCTTAGGGATCATTACAATTACCGTATCGTTGAAAGAATCTGATGTCGCCACACCGTGAAGGAAATCCCTCACAGAGGTACAAACGTCCTCCCGAACTAGTGCCCAGTGGTGTTGGTAGAAAAGCGCCGGAAGCCCATCGGGGCCAAGAGCTTTCGTCGGACCCATTTGGAATAGAGCTGTCTCTATTTCTGTCTTTGAAATCTCAGCTGTGAGCATCTCTTTCATGCCATCAGATATCACCCCCTGAAAGAGTTGCAGGATATTGTCTGCATGGGTAGACCCCTCTAAAGTGAATAAGTTTTGATAGAAAGCTGCATCCATCTCTCCCATATCATCATTTGAACTCCACTTAGACCCATCCTCTCCTCAAAGCTCGTATTGTGTTTTTCCTCTTACGGTGGGATGCTCAATTATGAAAATATTGAGTGTTTTGGTCCCCCTCTTTGAGAGCCACCCCACTCTAGATCGCTTCTTGTACATAATCTCTTCTCGCTCATTGATACGTCTCCAACGTATC